CTCTCTCCCACCCTCCCTCTCTCTTTCCTTCCCTCCCTCCCTCCCTCTCTCTCTCCCTGTTTTAGTCTAAGGGTGGAAAAGACAGAAACCCCAACCTTCAACTGTCAACTGTTTTCCAAACACCAGATTAATGTTCCCCAGGACTCGTAGTAACGTGACCTTTCTGTTTTCAGATGTGTTTTTTAACATGTAATCGTTTGTTTGTTATGTCTCTCAGTATGGAATAAGGAAAGCAGGGGGAAGGGGTGCCTGTTGCCGGAGGGAGTGAAAAAAATGGTTTGGAGCCCATTTTTTTTCCCTCCTCAGCACAGGAAAGCTCAAAACATTCATTTTTGTGTTCAAGAAGATAATCCTTTGGGGTGGAAAAATTCACGATACTGGTATTGAAAAGAAGTGTGAGCAATTGATGAACAACTATTTAAAAACAACATACCTCAAAACAAAAATCTAATAAATGGATTTTTTTTTTTTAATGACGAAGAGTCCTGGAGCACCGTTAATGCTATTTTCTTGATCTAGGTATCTACATGAGAAGTATTATTTTAAATTATTTATCAAGCTTTCACTTATGATTTGTGTTTCTATTTGAACTGTTATATTTCAATAAAGTTTTAAAAATCTAAGAAACAAGAACCTCTGATGTGTGTGTATCTCACTAGATTTTCTAAAATTTATTCATAATAAATGTCCATACCAATTCATTTGTTTAGCTGTATTTAAGAAATTTACCAATAATTTGATTTCTAAGTAATAGGTTCTGAATCCAATTGACAATATACTTGAATTAGTTATAGGAAACCAGCATAAATATTGGATAACCGTTTCCAATAAGCAATGAGAGTTTAAAGCTTGCCTTAAGAAATACTTAAAGAAACAAAAACAGTTATTTGGTTAAAAAATAATGACCCAGGGAACATTTGAGATCTTGCTCCCTGTCTTATGTCGTCAGTTTGGCTCAAATATACGCTTATAAAAATTTAAACAAAAAACTAAACTTCATGCTTTAAAATAGTGTAATTGTTTGAAACTAACTCCCATTAGAAAATGTTTTCTCTATCTCAAATGAGAATTTTAGAAAGAATCTGACCCATACTCAAAAGTGAATTTCCGCTAGCAGAAAGATGCCAGTTTTAAACTTGTTTTTCCTTTATAAAATATTATTAGGCTGCTTTGACAGTGACTAAGTATTTCACCAAGAACCAAAGACTAAATTGCTCTCTCTGTTTAATCAATAGCTTTTATTGCTGGTATCAGCCTCACTAATGACCCATTGCTATCCTACACTCCATATTTCTTCCTTTCTCTCATCAACCCCTTCCAAATCACTCCAATTTTTCTCCTACCCCGTTCGATTTAGAGAAATTGTGATTCCTAATCTAGGAAATTATTTTCCAACAAATCGCTTTGTTGTCGACTCTCACCTCTATCCCTTTCTCTGTGTAATGTGCCCTTTATCACCGAGAACAATTGCTGAACTCTCACTCCCCACATGGAGGCTTCGCTGCCGCTTTGTTTTATAGGCCCTTCCGCGATTTTATGATTGGTTGCTGTGGTTGGAATGTTTATAGATAATAAACAACTAATCCATTTCTTGCCTAATGAATTGCCCCACCCGCGTACCAGTTTAACACCCATAACTAGCTCCAGGATCGATCTGAGCCAGTGAGTAGGGGGGACCGAAACCACCCAACTTCGCTACCGTTTAATATCAAAGCCGAACCACCCAAGGGCAGCAGATAGGTATTTCTCATTTTCCAGGTCCTCTTCCCCACAGGACCCGACCATCCACTCCTGCACAGCACCCCCGCCCCCTCTCCTATCGGTGGAAGGATGAATTCCAGAGGTACTTTCCTTGGCATCTAAAAAAGCGAGAGGGCGGTGCGGAAGCCTAGGCGCGCTGCGCTTGGAGATTGGCTCACCCACATGGACCCGGCCCTCCTGGGTGACAGGCCAAAGCTGGCGTTTGCAGCTACTTCTAATCTGGCCGGACCAGCCTCTTCAGCCCTCAGCATCACAGACCTAGTAAAAGTTTGAATCGTCCGGGTTCTGAAAGAGGTCCTGCCAGCAGAAGATCCAAAACTTGACGTTTGCAAGGGCGCACGCGCCTGCGCCCCAGAGCTGAAAAAGAAGAGCTGGCGGCTGGGAGCAGAAAGTAGTAGAAGCGCACAATCGAGTTACTACTTTGGAATCAGCCTGACATAAAGAATATGTACGTTCAGACTCCCAAGAGACCTGGAAAACGTGGAGGCTCTGCCGAAAGCATTGAGATAACAGTGGAAAAAACAATGTGTGAGAGAGTTCTTTCATACACGTGATGGCAGCAGCGGCACTTGGCCATCGGCAGTTGCTGGGGCCAGGCGGTGTGGTGACGGTGCCTGGGGGCCGGGAGGCGCAGCTGGGTCTCCAAGGTGTCCGCTGGTGTTTGAGCCACCGAGAGAACGTTGGTGTGCGCCATGGGACAGTCCCTTTCCATAAGGACCTAGAGCAGGGAAGCCTAAAGAGTCTTCAACCTGAAGGTCCCAGATCAACAATTCTTTAGCTAGAGCCATTTCCCAGCCTCATTTAACAGTTAGCTGTATTTTGCGTGAATAGACTTCCTGTACTTAGACAGTAGTTTGAAAGTCACATTTATGGGTTTATAAATTTAATTTTGCAAAGCTAATGTTTATGCCACCTTCCATCTGAGTCTATTCTACGACAGTTCTCAGGGTCTCTTCTCTCCAAGGAGCTGAGAGAGGATCTCTGGGAGCACACACTCTCCTCCCCTACCCCACGGCCCCCAATCTGCGTGCTTTTGCTTCCCTTCATTATGAAGAGTAGTTAAAGATGTTGTTGAGTCAGTCAGAATCAATTTTCTTGGGTGGCCTGTTTACCCCAAACTGTGGGTAGAGGGCACTTCAGTCCCTGTCTGTCTCTTTCACTGGTCTTGGTTTGCAAATCCCATTGTTTCCTGGTGGTAGCAGTAGAGACTTCCATTGTCCGTCATTCAATTAATAAATATTTATTTAATGCCTACTGGTCCAGAGGTTAGGGCTACAGCAATTAAAAAAGAAAAAAGAAAAGAAAACCTTTCTTAGAACTTCCATGCAAGAGGGGAAGATCAGATTGATATTAGGACTTGCACTGGGATGGTCATTGAGAGGATGTGGTTTCTAATAGAAGCATAAAGCACTATTCCAGCTCCCTGGTTGAAACCTCTCTCTTTGTCACCTTAGGGGTTTCTTTGTTATGTGTAGTTTA